AATCCACTGGTCTGTATGTTTATTCTTATTCCAGTACCATGCAGTTTTGATTATTATGGCTTTGTAGTGTAGCTCGAAGTTTGGGATTGTAATGCCTCCACTTTGTTTTTTCTTAGACATGAGTGTTTTGGCTATTTGAGGTCTTTTGTTGTTCCATATGATTTTTTGTTTTAATTGATTTTAAAATTTATACATCCAGAACTGGGGTACAGGATAGAGGTGCAGGGGCGGTGAGAATATTCACCAGCGACAGAGTGGGAAGCAGAACAGGAAGATCTATAAGGTATACTGCTGAGGGGAGCAGTATAGGAGACAGGAGAGGTCTGCTATGCCCTGTGGACCTCTGGGATTGGGGCTCAAACCCACACAAAAATGACTGAAGCTCGCTTGCAGTGCTGTGCCTGATGAGCCACCAGGGAGACAGGAGAGGTCTGCCACACCTTATGGGTCACCTCCCTGGCCGGGGCTGGAACTGGTGCTACAGTGGAGAGCTTCATAGTGCTGTGCTTTAACCCATTGTGCCACCAGGCAGGGCCTGTATTTAGTTTTTTAGAAAATTAAATGTCAGGGTATTTATGTTATATTCGGCACATTTTCATTCCTAATCTCACTTGGAATTCATGCCTGTAATTCCTGAGTCCTGTCTGGGAGAGGAGCACCAAGCGAGGCTTGAGATCTGAAGCAGGCAGCAGAATTCTCTGCATAGGAACTGAGGAGGTGTGCAGCATTCCTTAACCCCTCCAATGGCTAACGTGCTATTCGAAGGAAGTTTGATGGCCACAGTATTTTGCTGTTGTATCATAGAATAATCAAAAGCAGGATTGTGTGCAGGATCCAAATATTCATAGCTACCCACTTTAAGGATGTGGTGGATGGGAAGAAGACTCTCTGACCAAGAAACAGCTCTGTCTTCTGCCACTAGAACTTGTTGCTGCAACATAAGTCATTTTGTTCTCCCTGGAGAGCCTCTCTCCACAAAGCCATGCTGTCCAATACACTTGCTGCTGTGATACACCCTTCTCCTTAAGAAAGGCCTTCACAGTGTGACTGCTTGTAGGAAAGGATAAAAGTGGAGTGGGGAGAAGGGCGGACACTGGGTGGTTGAAGCCAGACTCTGCACTCTGACTATCAGACGCCTCTGCCACACAAGAGATTCCTTTAGAAATCCTCATTCTGGAATAAGTGAGAATAAATGATCTAAAACCAGAAGGTGAAACAAGAGAACAGAATAAGCCCTCTCACTGATCCTGTTTGTTGGAATAAATGAGTTTCCTCCTTAACGTATAATCCCAGAGGATACAGGAAGAGGGCAGATTTGCAAATTTGTCCCAAAAATATAGAGATTTTCTTGAAGCACCACTGGCCATTGTTACAAAAGGTTTTTCATGGACATCATGTTAATGCAACCTGGGACTTGATGGAAAATAGCATACAGTTGAACCAAAAAGATTTTTGAGCAATGTATTATCATTAGGCTCAGAGACCTGACAAGATTATTTAACCTTTGAACAAAAGCATATTATATTTTTTAGGATGATATTGATGGTTACCCAGGATGATTATGGAATGAACTAGAAAGGTCCATTAGGCTTTATCTTGTCACTAGATAAAAATCCACTCCAGGTAGAACTTTATATGGTTTGCATGGCAGGATGTCACTAAATATGGTGTCATTGTTTCATAATATAACAAAGACAGTTTCTTTGATGATTTTTAATGAGAAGAAGCGCTGTTTATTAACCTCTGAAATTGTTGGAGACTTTTTTTCAGACTTAATCACAAATTCCTAAGGGTAGAAACAGCTGTTTGAGGGAGGTGAAAGCAATACTTGGGAGGGTGAGGGTAGGAGTTGAGGTGTAAGGTGGAGATTCAGATTTGAAAGGAGCCATATAGCCAACTTTTAAGCAGACATAAGAGACAAGGCATCAAGATTCCTGCCAGGGTAGAGTAGCACTAGGCAGGCAGCTGGTGCAGGACAGGCCTGGGGAAGGTAAATGAATCAGCTAAGTGCTAAATGTAAGGAGACACCCCCCTTCAGGTTCCTGGGAGCGCAGGGCTGCTGTGAAGAGTGGACCCCTCCTTAAAGCTTGCATGGTGGAGGCCTGACTTGCTTTTTCTCCAGCACTGGAGAACAGAGAAAATGGAACATTTCTGCTTTCACCTTAAAAACAAGACAGCCTCAAACTAACCTCCTATTTTGGTTACCCAGAGATTCTGATAAAAATCAAAATAGCCCAAACTTTGGGAAAGACAGTCTCCATTCATTATAAGGTTTTACTACAGGAAGAGTATGGGTCATATAAACATTTGTCATTTAAGTCTTAAACAACAAGAAACAACAACCTTCCAAATTAGCATAGGTGTCTGTTCCACCAGACCAGTGGACATGCTGAAATTCTTTTCCTTCTGCCTTACTTTCTTTTTCTCTTTTCTTTCAACTCTTTTTTTAAAAATATAAATTATGTTTATTTAGGAAACGTTTTTTTTACAACTTTGTATCTGCTTTGGCGTGATAGATTTAAACCTCAAAAATACATATTTTCACACCCTGCCGGATACCAGTGCTCCACAGTCCTCCGACAATTTCCATTGGGCTCCTTCCCCCGACTCTTCTTCCACCTCCCTTGCCTTCCGGTTGCCAGTTCAACACTCTTTTCTTCCATTTCTTTCTCCTCTTTTCCTTCTACTCTGTTAGGCACTACCGAAGCGGCTTGCTTTTCTTTCCCCTCCTTCCTTCGCTTACAACGGATTTGAAGGGGGAAAAAAGAATCAAATATCTGTTTCCCAGCCATTTTCATCAACAATACTGGCTCCTTTCTCAGGGTACCACTAGGCAATGAAAAGCACCGTAGGAGGACATTTGTGACAGTGTAGTGACGGATTCATGACGACGCGGCCGTGTAGACTTGAAACAGGTCCACTCTGTTCTCTGCATTTAGCTGAGACCAAACCAGAATGAATACCTATGGGTGCTCAGCGGGATGCGTGAAACAAAGCAGTTTTCTATTTTGTGATGAAAAGAAAATAATTTTTGGGGGTGGGAACCCTACCCAAACCAGAAGTTTAGTTTGTGTTTGTTTCAGCTAAACTGCTTCTGGCTTGTCATCTATGTTTGTAGAATCTCAATTGTTGCAGAAATCTTTTAAACTTTCCCCCTCCCCCCTTAGGATTTGTAAACCTCTCTAGAAGTTTATTTCAAAATAAAGAAGTTAATAGCACAGACTTTCTGACATTTAGATCATATTCAGCTGTCTTTATTTCTATACATCTTGAACTTTTTGAACTAAGTTCCTTTTTTTTAAATTGTATTTTGAATCAGTCACATCTCTTGTAAAACAGATTTTCAGAAATGTGTTTTCATATTTGATAGGGATTAAACATATTCAAGTCAACCTCAACAGGAGGAAGGGTTGATATGACTTATACCATTTTCCTTTTTCTTGAAAAATTTCTGGCAGCGTATGTAACATATTACTTAACAACACGAAAGCAAATGTTCAGCTGGAGTCGGAAGGCTGTGGAGTTGTTGCAGAACGCATACTGCAAAATGCTGCGGGTGCTGTTCACATCACAGCCCTTGAACATTTGTGTATTTATTACAATAATTTCCTAGCAAATGACTTGGAAATGTCTTGGGGAAGGGGCTCCTCCCATTAGCCACCAATTTGCAAAAAGGTGCCACCATCTGGAAGGCCGTGGTTCTGATACTGAGTTCATATTTAAAAGGCTTATTTTTGCTCCTTTTGTCCTAGACCTTTGGCTGAATTGAAATTAGTCTGGATTAGTTGCATTCTGCTGTGCTAAAGCTTAGCACCATTGTCTCAACTTGCTGATCTTTCCAAGATAAACCAACCAACAACCATCCACCCACTCCCCCAAATGAAACCACAAAGCAAGGGGTATTTGCATTCATTTCCCCTGATTTCCATCTGCTTTTGTCCTGACCCTAAACAGTTTGTTGCTGGGTTCCTCTCCTTAGTCCTTACCTTAAGCCAGATGCATCTTCTAAATGCTTGATGGAGTCTAATAATAGTAAACACTCCCCCTCACTCACTTTTTTTTTTTTAAGGGTGGAAAGCTAAAGCCCAGAGAGCATAAGTGATTTGCTTGTGGTCACACAGCCAGCCATGGAAAAACAGAATTTGAAGTCAGGCAATATGGCACTAAGTCCTACACTTAAGCACTCCACTCTTCTGCTTCTTCCACAAAAACTGCACCTTTGCCCGAAGTCCTATTTTCTGTTGGTCTGGCCATTCACTGCTTGATGGTGGACCTCTCCCTTCTACATGTTCCCCTTGATCAGATCTCTTCTAGGTGCTATCATTTGGTGTCTCACCTGTCCTTATGGGCGAGCCCTAATCTGGGTCAATTCCCTTACCTCCAGCCTCCTCTGTTCCCAATTTTCACTCTCCTGTACTGACCCACAGTTGAGGTCTAGGCATACCTTCTGCTGGAGCTGTCACCTGTCACAGACGACACTAGGAGGGAGAGGCTTGTTGGGGTGTGCAATTCTGGGGCTCGGTAGGCTGTGCAAGCCAGGCATGCTTGCTTTCCCTTCCCTTCGTTCTCTCCTTCAGTCTTCAACCTCACTATGACAAGTTCTTCTCTTTCAAGAGACTTTATATCCCAGTATTCCTGGAACGTAGATGGAATTTATTTCTTTATATTTACTTCCTGCTTTGCTCCAGAAAAGACTTAAGGTAGGGCCTCAAATATATGCATATATAACTTCAAAATAATAAGATAAGTAAAATTAAAAATAGAAGGCCAGAGGAAAAGGAAAGATTTTGAAAAAGTGAGATAAAATGAAGAATATTGGTTCATAGTACTGAGCTGTAAGTTCCTGCATGTTTGCTGTTGTCAGAGGTCTGGTGCGTGGACCAGCATGAAGCAATATGGAGGGAAGAAGAGAATAAGCAAAATACATAATCTAGGCTGTCTTGATAAGGGGATTGACATAATATATAGTGCAGCATTTTCATAGTCATAAATTTCATAGTCTTAAATTAATATAGGCCTTTAAAATTTACTTAGGGTATGAAAAGACAGTGGAGGTAAAACAGTGGTTTGTGGTTCAGTAATCTTGCAAAATGGTTAGCAAGGTAAACACATTTCTTTACTGAAAGATTTTTTCTTTTCTTTTTTAAAAAAGATTTGTTTATTATGCATACAGAACTGGGACAGGCCAGCGGTGCAGGGACGGTGAAAGGATTCACCAGAGACAGAGTGGGAAGCAGAACAGGCAGATTGACTAATACATGACTGAGGGGAGCAGCTGATGGGCCAGGAGAGGTCTGCTGTGCCATGTGGTCACCCCCTTGGCCAGGGAGCTAACTCATGCTGAAGTGACTGCAGCTACCTTTGTAGTGCTGTGCTTTAACCCAATGTGCCACCAAGAAGGGCCCTGAAAGATTTTTCTTAATGGTGTTTATGTGTATTGTAAGTCTCTAGAAAGGGAATAGGTCACAGTCATTTCCAGACCTTTGGCCACAGGGATCTTTCTTTTGGAAATTTAGAGGGCCACTCTATGTTAAAGAAACTGTGGAGAAGTTTGTGTATAAGAATTGCTTTCCTAAAAAAGTATTTTTTTAAAAAGATTTATTTATTTTGTACATACAGAACTGGGTACAGTCCAGAGGTGCAGGGGCAGTGAGAGAATTCACCAGAGACAGAGAGGGGAGCAGAGTAGGCCGACTGACGAAGTACACTGCTGACGGGAGAGGTCTGCTGTGACATGTGGTCATCTCTGGGGGTGGCGGGGTTTGAACTCATGCTGAAGTGGCTTTAGTTTCCCAGTGCTGTACTTTAACCCTCTGCGCCACCAGGGAGGTCCCCCAAAAAGGCACTTAAAAAAATCAGCAGTTTTAAATATACAGAATTAAGTCAAGGGAAAATTAGAAACTGACAAAGGATGACAGGTAAAACAGCCAATTTCATTAATATGTGGCAAGTTTTTACAAATCAGTTTATGAGATCACTAACTTACTAGAAAAATGGACAAAGGACAGGGATAGGTGACAGGACATAAAAATAGTTTATAAAAGTGTAAAAGATTTGTCATCCCTCACTAGTGGATAAATAGGAACTGAGCTAGAAAATGAGCTGCTACTTTTTACCACTCACTGTGCAAAGCCTCTGGAGTGTGACAATGCTCTGTGTTTCCAGAGGTTGGAAACAAGAAGTCTCCTTTGTTATTGGGATGATAAGTTGGTGAAACTACTGTGGGTCTCTATCACATATAATCAAAATATAGTTAGACTTTGAGCTCACATTCGAGCACCTCCACTATACCATTTTATCCACTAATATCTGAGCGGCCGTCTCTCTCCTTGGATTGCTACAATAACCTTTTTTGATCTTCTTCTTCCACTTTGCTCATTCAAGTCTGGATCATGTCATACATCTTGCTCAAATCCCTCCTTTGACTTCCCATCTCACTAAAAGCAGCACCCTAAATTTCCCTGTGGGCTACACGGACCTACATAGAACCTCTGTGATTTTATATTTTATTCTATTCCTGTTCCTTCTGTTTTAACCACACTGTCCTACTTGTTTTTCTCTGAACGTATCAGTGATCCTTTTATTCTAGAGCTTTTGCATGGGATGTTCTGCTTGGATCAAGCTTCCCTTCACCGTTTGCAGTGCCAGTTTTCTCATCTTCTTTAGGTATTTGCAGAAATACCACCTTTTCAACCAGACCATCATTGACCATTCAATTTAAAATCCTATGCACTCACCCCATTCACTCTTGCTTTTCTCTATTTCTATAGCTTGGATCATCTCCTATTATTTATTGTGGCTTTGCTTGTATCTTTGTATGAGAATGTAATGTGTTTTCATTTTGTTCATTTGCAGTGCCTGAGGAGCTATAATGTATGTGTTTAGCAATACATTTCTAAATTAATAAAATATTGAATGACATCTGACCCAGCAACTCTAGGAATCTATTCTATGACAGACTTACACATGTGCACAAAGCAACACAGACACCCTAGTCATTAAGTTGAGTTTATTTTAGTGAAAAAAAAAATGAGCAGTGATCCCAAGACATTGAGCATTACCTTTCAGAGGATGTTAAAGGGGTTGGATAAAACCAAAAGTTGATTCATGGTCAACTACCTTTTAGAGGGAGGGTTGATGTTGAAACCAGATCAGTTATCATTAAAATAAACTACATTTCCATTGCATCCTGAATATGTGGACTTTTACTTTTTCTCCCAAATTGGTGAAAAAGGTGGTTCATAATTGAGAACAAAGAGGTTCAGTCCCACATGCAAAAGAGATATAACTGCTATTTAGTTCAAAGGCTCCCTTTGGGCTTCCAAGAGGTTTTAGATTAGACTGTAATCTAAATCATCTCTACTCCCATTCATTTTTTCAAAAATATTAGGGAATAAGTGCACTGTTCAAGATTACATCCCCAAGACACAGTGGGGAGGCCCAGAGGCTCACTCATAGTGATAAGTGTTCCTGTAAGAAAGGTCTGGGCTGTTGTTTCCTCACTTGATGGATATAGTTCTCTCTGGTGATTCACTATGTTTACCACTGGAGCAGACTTCACATTTCTGCAAACAGGAAAACTACAGGGGCCAGCCATTGCTGAGAGGTGATAACAAAGGGATGAGTTAGCATGGGAAGGGGAAAGCTCTACATGTAGTTCCCGTGTCAAATGAAAAAAATTAGAAGAAATTTTGTAGTATATGGTATCTTCATGTGAAAGATCACAAAGGAGAGAGTGGAGGGTGCAGGCTATGAGATCTAGGGAGCCTGCAGTTTAAGTGGGTGAATATATGGTTAGGGGGACTCTACTTGTCCTCTGTGGCTTCCATAACAAAATGCAGCAGACTGGTGACTGAAGAAACAAATTTATTTTCTCTCAATGAGAAAGGTTAACTAAATTTCAAGATCGAGGTGTTGGCCAATTTGATCTCCAATGAAGCCTCTCTCCTTGGCTTGCAGATGGCTGCCCTCTTGCTATATTTCATACCGTCTTTCCTCTTCAGTGCTCAGAACTGCACTGTTGCCAGTTCCCCTTTTTTGAAGGGATACCAATCAGATTATTTTAGGGCATTCCTTAAGAGCTTTGTTTTAATTTCATCACCTTCTTTAAGTCTCTATCTCCAAATATGATCACTTTTTGATGTATTGAAGTTTTTGGCTTACAGAAATGAATTTTGAGGGTACACAATTCAGCCCATAAAGTGGAACTCGATTTTTTACTGAGACATAATTGCCACAATAGCTCTCAACAGTGGAGGAAATGGTGAAGCTGAGAACCATTCAAGAAAATCACACTCCATGGGGAAAGTCCCCAGGGGTTACCAGTAGCTGGTGGAACTAGAGAAAGACCAAGGGAACCCCCCAAATCTCATAAGTTGCTAGTGATGTAAGAGGGTCTCTGCTTTTCTTATTCATTTCCACCCCCCCCACTCAATGTGAAATGCCTGATCCAGAAAAGAAGCTGGTCTCTCTCTCTTTTCCTCTACCCATTGATAGATTCTCTTCTAAATACCAAGTTCCTAGAGGTGAGGCCAGGTCTTCTCTGGTAAATGAAAGGAGACGAGGTTTAAATTGGATGTGAGATGAACATTTTAAGAACATTTACACTGAAACTGATGGTAAGAAAGTTGTAGGATCTGATTGAGAAGTAAAGTAGGAGAAAGGTGATTCTGCAGAGCTCATTTGTATGTGGTGCTTGAAAAAAATGAAACTGGCAACTTAAGCCCTACTGAATTGATATTTTTCAATACTGGAAATCTTTTTTAAATATATAAAAGGATCAAGTCTTGGACAACACAGTAAATTGCTTTTAGTAGTTCTCTCTGGAGAATGAGGATTTGGGATGGAAATTGGTGTGGGGCGTAAATGTACTTTTGAATTTGAAAATACCATGTACATATGTTACTTAAACATTTGAGCCATTTTATGCTAAAGTAATTAGTACCATATGATGTGAATAGAGAAGACTGAGTTAAGAAACAGCCCTGACACATCTTCAAACAACTAGCAACAACAAATGTTGGCGAGGATGTGGAGAAAAAGGAACTCTCCTGCATTGCTGGTGGGAATGCAAACTAGTACAACCACTATGGAAAACTGTTTGGAGGTTCCTCAAACTGCTAAACATGGAGCTTCCCTATGACCCAGCAATCCCACTCCTAGGTATCTAGGATACCTAGATACCTGTACCCCCATGTTTATTGCTGCTTTATTTACAATTGGAAAAACATGGAAGCAGCCCAAATGCCCAAAAGTAGATGACTGGATTAGAAAGATGTGGTACATATATACAATGGAATATTACTCAGCAACCAAAAAAGAGAAACACATGTCTTTTGCAGCAACTTGGATGGAGCTGGAAAAGATCATGCTTAGTGAGATAAGCCAGAAAGAGAAAGAAAAATACCGGATGGTTTCACTCATAGCAGGAGTATAATGGACCAGGCGAGAAAATAACAAAAATAATGAACAACCATAGACCAGAGACATTCTGTGGGGGTGGAGTGGGGAATGGGATCAAAAACGGGGGGGGGAAGGGAGGGAAATGCACGGGACTATGGTGGTGGCACAGGGGTGATTTGGAGATGGGAAACCCGTGGGGATTACAATTGAGATGAAAAAAAAAATGTGAAAAA